TTCAGATTCTGTGTCTCCCTCTTTCTCTCTCTGCCCCTTCCCTGCTTCTTCTCTCTCTCTCTCTCTCAAAAATAAATAAATATTTTAAAAAATGAGACTATCTCAAACTTAGTAATTGTCTTACATGTATCCACCTTATGTCTTAAAATTAGTTCCCTATTCTCTTAGGGAGAAATCCACAGTTTAAAAATAAATAATTCTTCATTTCAAGCATAGCAGTAGGAGCTTGATAGACATTCAATAAATGTTGATTATTCAATTTTAGATACTAACCCAATAAATTATTTTATGTAAAGATTAAGATTTAATGAAATGTTATAGAGATCATTAACTTCTATCTCATATTAACTTAAAATAAAAAGTGGCTTCAAATCACTATTTTTTTAAATTCACATTTCTTAGTTTTACTAAAGTTCTGAATACACTAGCTCAAAAGCCATGATTCTTTGAATTTTGAAAATAACATGAAACTTTAGAAAAAAAAGTCTTTGTAATTTCACATATACAGCTGACCTTATTTTTGGTAGGTTTGTGAAATTACTTTGTGAACTACAAAAACTTTAAACCAAAACTTAAATTTTATCTACTTCTCTATTTGGACAATTAAAATCTAGAGTTTGGAGTCAAGGGAGCAATGATAAGAAAAGAATTCAAAAGGAAAAGAGATAGAGTTTGCCCTGAGGACAATTAAATGTTCCTGTCATTTCATTAATGTTATCTATTTATATTTTACTTAAATCTTCAAGCTAATAAGGAGATGCAGTGGGAAAAAAATCGAGTTGATCTGGCAGCCACATTTATAGGATTTCAGTTAACAGTATGGGGAATGATAAGGAAATAAGCCTATCGGTGTTTGATGCTTAACACAAATTAAATATTTTTGTGTTTTTGTGATACATCTTATCTTTCATGTGCCTCATAGCGAGTGGAGGTCAGATAGTTAATAAGCTCAGAGGAAAACTAATGTCTTTAAATATATAGTAAAATCCTGAGAGAAAAAAAAAACCTCTTTGATATCTAGACGGAACATGGCTTTATAGAAAAATTAAGCCAATGATATAATTGTTACCAAGGCTATGGCAATAACATCATAAAATAGTAGTAGTAGTCGTTAGTAGTAATACTAGTAGTAGAAATAGTAATTAGTAATTTAGAAACCAAAGTTTTAAAACTATTCTTTTGATTTACATTATTTTCAGAAATCACTTCCTTTTCCTGGATTGTACTATGATAATTTTTTAAAAAGAGATTCTTACAAAAACAAACAAAAAAAATAATAAGACTATGTTATAGGGTGGCAAATGCACCTCTTCTTCTCCATGACAACAGATAAAGAAGCCGTAACCATGACAACAGTAATGGGCCAGGGAGATTAGGTCCAGACTGGAGATTAGGCCTCCAAGAGCAAAGAAAAAAAGTCCTGATTGGTTCCTTATTGAGACCTTATGTGAAGATGAGTGACTGTTGAGAGAAAGCCTGGAGGATTAGTATGAACAAAATTAATTCCCTGTATAAAGAAAGAAGCCATCTCTTTGTTAAAAAATGTGTCCGTTCCTTTTCAGACGAGGACTGTTTAAACTGAGGTAAAAGAGTCCGCGATTCATTCTATTCTGAGCTTTATCTGTGTCATCTGCATCTAGACTAGCTCTGTGAGAAGGCACTCCTGGAGGCCTGAGGAGAACAGCATCTGTGTGCAGGCTCTCATTGCTGGGACTCTAGGCAGCCCCTGAATGGGTGGGGAAGTCAACTCATTTCGGATGTGATACCATCTCTACGTGAGGTGCTTTTGAGGAAAAAGGAACTGAAAATTTGTCCCCTTTTCTCTTCCAAGTCATTTGTCTAACTTCTTGAGAGTTCTCAAAAGGTTTTTGCAAGTCACCATTGATCACATTTGCTTTTTAGAAAATCTTTTGTAAAAAAAAAAAAATCGCGTAAGGATCCCATTTACTTTAAACTGGTAAGATGTATAGGTATTACATTTGGAGAAAATGAGCTATGATTTCACAAGGATGCATGGGTTACTTAAGGTTTTTTAAAATGATAAATTTATAGACCTGAGAATGTTTGGTCAGATGGTATGAATATTTTTCACTTTAAAGGATTTTGCCAAGTGAACTGCTAAAAAGACTGTACTCTTACAAACTTCAACTGACAGTGTAAGAGAGTGTCACATCCTGGCCAACTGTAGATACTAACATTCTTTAAAGTCTTGCTACTGTGACAGATTTTTTTAAATGCACTTTATCCTGACAGACTTTTTTAGATTTTATTTTAATGCACATTTCTTTTACTGTCAGGTTGAACCCTACTTTAAAATAAGTTTCTGTATTATTTTATTGATCTTTGGACATTCCTGTTATATAATAGATATTAACTATCATCTGTTAGATATTTTGCAAATACTTTGGATCAGTCTTTCCAGAGGAAACGACACTAAACTAAGTGACAGGGGATAGCAGGAGTTAGGTGGACGAGATGGGTCTGGTAGAGTGGGAGCTACTGTGTGGAGGCTTTGGGGAATCACCCGTGTATCCTCATGGAGAGAGCCTGCTTAGTGCAAGCAGCAAAAAGCCAGGGAGCCTTCAGATCCTCTTGTCGTTCATAGGTGTGATGACTGGGTGTTCACGTTGTCATGTGACATGTGCTTCCCTCAAACTTTGTTATGACCTCGGCACATTACCCAAATGAGGTGTGGTCGGGGGGCGGGGGGGAGCCAGGGAACCTCCATGTGAACTGCATGAGGAATGCCTTCATCTATTGTTCACTACTGTCCCCTCTGGGCCTAGAAGGGCTGTCATTGGATAAGCACTCTGTGAATACTTTTTGGATGAGTAGAGCTAACGGATGCTGGTTTCTGTGGAAACCTTGCAAGCCTTTCCCCAAAATGGTATTTTTCTCGCAATAGGAACACACTAAGCTATTGTGCAGGAAAGCTAATGCCCTTGGAATCGCCCTCAATCAGTGGTGGGAGAGTGGTAGATAAATATCTCAGCTTGTTTGCCTCAGAACAGATAACTTTGAGGCCTATGCCACACTGGCCCCCAGAGTCCCTAGTGGAGTTGCTGTTCAGTTTCCTAGTATGCTGACTGCCAGATAATTCACTTTTTCTAGCCTTCACTCCCTGCTGTCTCACTTCCCAGCTTTCCGGTGGTTCCTTGGATCAGCTTCCAAATAAACGATTTGTTTTAAGTCCTTTTCTTAGGACCTCTTTGTGGAGGAAGCCAAACTAAGAAAAGTGATAAACAGGAGCCAGGCCAGTAGGCTGATTTTGAAGTTTGGAGATTCCCTGAGGTAAAGAGTAGACACGGAGGATAAATTAGTAGTAGATGGATATGACCAGATGTGTCTTTTTACAAGCTTATTCAGGAGGCTGTCCAGAGAATACATTTGAGAGAGATGAGAACAAGGAGAGCAGAGATGCTTGAAGACAGCTGTGGCAGTTCTGACAAGACAAAATGACGGTGGGGCTCTAAGTGTGTAAGTGGAGCTAACGCAGAGTAGATTTACCTGATGTCCAACAGGGGGAATCCTAGAAGGAATGAGTGAGAGAGAGTCAAGGGTGGGGATACCTGTTAGGTTTCTGGGCTGTACAGTTGAGAGAACGGTGCAGACACAACTGAGTTGAGTGGCCCAGTGGGGAGAAGCAGGCTGAGTGGGCAGTGAAGGTGGTGGGGAGGATAAATTCACTTCAGTGTGCTAGTTTGAGATGTCCGTGTTGTGGGGAAGTGTAGGTTTTTATCAGGAAGCTTCATATCACCCACATTTTTGAGACAGATGCTACATGTCCAGGCATCAATTTTCTCCCTCCCCTTACCACTCTGCCACAAAAGATTGACTAACTTGCTACCAGTCTACCATTTGTTTCAAATACTATGTTGACCAAAAAAGTAAGGGGGACTGTCACCTATAAAGAAGTGCTAAGTATCTATGGGGCCAGGAATAACTTTGAAAGCTTTCTGCAGCTCTTGAAAACTTCTTCTTCTATATAACTGGTATGTATTGTCAATTGATAATATTTCTGGAACCACTGGGAATGAAGATAGGCTCCCTCACCCCAGTAGATTTTCCAGCTAATAGGAGTGTAGTGCACAGCAGGAATAGTGATTCAGGAATAGTGATTCAGCCAGCCCTTGGAGAAAGTGAATGCAAGGATGGAGACCAGCTTTGAAAAGAACTGAAGAAAGCAGCCCACACAATCCAGTTTGAAGATTAAATGTAGGCAAATGTGTCATTGTGTTATAGGGATAGACATCACCTGTCAGGGTTAAACACGTTTCCTCCCCTTGGAGACTTGGAAAAATAAGAGAATGAATTATGAACTCATACACATACAAACACACATCTGATAGAAAATTTCTTTACAGATTTTAAATGCCCCAAATATTTAAAAAATGAGTTCTCCAATTGTGGATGATTTATTCCTGTGAATAACAATTTGCCAAATTTTGCTATACATGCAGTGGTACCCTACAAGCATTGGACAATTGTATGTCTTTATGTCTGGTAGAATTTTTTTTCCTGTAATTTCCTTTCTAGCAGGTATTCTATAAGAACTCTTTCTACTTTTTGTTAGCTTCCATGACTTTGATTTGCTATTCCTTCAAACTGTATCTAAAACAGGGTGAACAGGCTCTGAGTGGAATGAGGTTTTTGTAATAACTGCTTGGTTACCTGAGGCATTTGTCTATGGCTATGTTCCTCTGCATCATGCCTGAACAGAATACTTGCTAATGGTCTTGGATCCCATGAGTAATGGAAACTGGACAAATATTCAGTAGAATCATATATGTTATTAATTACCCACCCTTTCATAAGCTCCAAGAAATTCTAATAGAGCTTTGATTCCATTTACTGTTTGTTTGCTTTCCTTGGTTTTCTTCCTTCCTTTATAATCTATGAATGGATCATTCTATGTTTGCTAATGGGTCTGCTCTGCCTTCCTGCATATCTCTCACCCATGGCACCAACATCTCTGACCACCTCCTCTCCTTCCTTCCTAGCTATCCCAAGCTCCAGTGTCCTCCCTTCTGCTCCCAGAGATGTGGTCCCCGTGTTGGTTTCCAGTCGGTTTGTCCGCCTCAGCTGGCGCCCACCTGCAGAAGCAAAAGGGAACATTCAAACCTTCACGGTCTTTTTCTCCAGAGAAGGTGACAACAGGTAGGTCATACCAGTATCAATCTGCCACCTCTTTAGATGCATACTGTGACATAAAGGCACCTGCAGGGGATCTTGAGAAGGGACTTTGGATACCATGTGGTATCTCAGCTCTGCCCATCACTCATTAGTAAGTGGAGATGATCTATCTCCATTGCGTGTGTGTGTGTGTGTGTGTGTGTGTGTGTGTGTGTGTGTTCTAATGGGATTGTTTATAGAATCAAATGAAATCATTTATCAGAAACTTCCTTGAAAAAAGACAAGCAAATGAATTTGTGATAATTAGGTTTTTTATGTCCTTGGTTTTCAAAGTAATAAACAGAGAACAGAATTTGGCTGTATATTGATAGAACAGGGTATGAGAGAACCACAGTGGCCAGGTTGTAATCCCAATTCTGTCATTGACATCACGTGATCTCAAGAAAACCACATAACTTCTTTGAGCCTGACTTTACTGTGTAATAAAGAGTAAATAATAATACTTTAGCTTACAAAGTTTTTGTTAGGATTATACATATGTAATGTCATACAAGATTGTCTAGTATTTGGTAGAAATGTTGTTCCTCTTTTCACTTGTCACTTGTAGGCAAATGTGACCTGTATATGTCTAGTTTTAAGATTACCATTCTCGATTTTTCTCAACATTTTCTCCTTGAAATGTTTCATGATTTTAAGATTTTGAAGTTTTATTTGTAAGCCTAATGTAGATATTGGATAAATTCCAATCACTTCTATAGGAATAAGCTGTGTAATATCTCTTTATATTTCTTTAAATTATTAAACTTACTTAGTTTGTATTCCATGTTTGATTATTCTAATATCTGCAGTCCTTGTGAGTCTAATTCAGCTATTTGTTTCTGCTTACTCTTCCTCATAGTAGCTTGTTTCTTTTCATGTATAGGTGATTCTTGATTGTTAACTCTAATCCTTAGAAATTTTTCTGAGGGAATTTTTGAGAGCAAGTATTAAAGAACAATCTTATGGGAGGATGTGCTTTACCAAAATGAAAGCATGATAAACCAGAATATTGTTAAAGTTTACTTGCTCCATATGGGTCTCACGCTGATATTTTATTGCTTATGAGAAAGTCCATTAAATAGGATAACATTTGTTTTTCTGCTATTTTTAACACATCAACTCACATGAGTAAATGCAGACTTGTGATAAGGAATTCTCGATTTTTTTGTGGTTGTTCTGTTTCAACTAAGCTAAGGCTGAGATTGTACATTTGCCAGTTCTCTCAGGAGGCTAATTTCCTTTTCTACTTCACCCTCTGAGATTTGCTCTTTCAGGATCTTTGCTGTATGTGAGGCTCTCTAATCAAACCATATACCCTACTTTATCTGCAAGCTTCATTTCCTATTCTCTTCTCCTATTGGTTACTAAAACTCCTAGCTCTAGACTTCTATTGATAGGCACATACCATCAGGCAAATACCAGCTCCATAAGTCTGCTTACTCACTATGATAATTCTCTTATTTTGCTGCCTGTATATTACGGATAAAAAAAAAAACCCACTTTTTTAAATAAAAAAAAGACTTTGAATAATTTACCCAACATTTTAAGTGTGCCATAACAGAAAGGTTTTTCACATAATACTTAGTTTGCCATACTGTTTTAAATGGCACTTTGTAATATTTACTTGAATGCCTATATAATTGGTATCATTATTATATATTATTAATTATTGACATTTGAGCAAGTGCATTTGAATATAAGCATGTTCGGTCTTTGGGGAATTTTATTTGAGATTAAAGCATAAAGCAACTCCGTAAACATTTAACTTAGAAGGAATCAGACACCAGAAACTAATATTACATTGTATTTCTAACTGAGATTGAAATAAAACCTTTTTAAAAAAAGGAATCAGAAAAGCAAGGAAGCTTTTGGAATAGACCTTTCCATTCTATTCTTTGGGCATTTTTTACTTTCTCTCTACTTCATCAACTATTGGGTTTTCTGGATTGCCAATTAAAGGCAATCGAAGAGATCAGCATGTTAAAACTCAATTTGTTTCAGAGAAACATTGTGTTGCCAAATCCCAAGATTCTGTACAGAAGAGCATCTATTGACAAATGCACTCTGCAGATCTGCTGTGCCTCTCACATAAGTGTGGAACATCATCATTATGTCCTTAAACAGATGAGGATTTGGGTAGGGCAACTAGGGTCTATATAAATGTCTATCTGTTGATTTAGCTAAGTCATGAGTTCCAAGTCTTCCCTTCCACATTAAACTTCCTCTTATATATAACCAGTCTAAACTGGACACTAAACGGGAGACGGGTTTCTGGAATGTGGCAGCTTCTTTCATCCTTGAATGAGAACTACGTTCACTGTCTGTAAAGTTTACCAGCCAAGGGAATTGTAACCTGTATGATACTTCTACATAGATGGAATATTTTGGGGGTGATGGCAGCATGGGGGAACTAGAGAGGGAGAGTGAAAAAGAAAGGAACAGAGAGAAGTATAATGAAAGACAGGAAGAAATGACAAGTGCCCTAGAGGGATCCTCTTGTTCGCAGGGCTGAGCTCACAGTAATCCTGGCTTTCACCATATTCACTCATTCATTCATTCATTTTTTAAAAAAATGTTTTAATTAATTTTTGAGAGAGAGAGAGAGTGCAAGCAGGTGAGGGACAGAGAGATGGAGACACAGAATCCAAAGCAGGCTCCAGGTTCTGAGCTAGCAGCACAGAGTCCAATGCAGGGCTCAAACCCACAAACTGAGATCATGACCTGAGCCGAAGTTGGACGTTCAACCGACTGACCCACCCAGGTGCCCCACCATTCATTCTTCTGTAGAGGAATAAACTAGAGGGGAGAAGCCAGGATTTAAGTGTGAGGCTTAGTCTAGTCTCTCAAATGTGTGAGTGCTTTAAACTCAAGATTCAAAAGGGACAATATAGCTTGGTTTAGCCAGAGTGGTATTTAGTATAGCATGATAATCAGAAAGAACAGTACAACTTATCTCATGCTGTGTCTAAAAATGCTCTCTTTTCTAGTCCACAGCAATAAAGTATATCATGTTAAAGTTTCTATTTTCTCTTATAATTTGACCTGACTTTAAAATGAAAGAAATATATGTACTACACATATAGCCTATGTTTCCTAAGATTACTTATTACCACAAAGAAGTAGGCATTTGTTTTAGTCTTATCTCCAGCTCTTTAACTCTGTGGCTTTATGATGAGTCTTTGGATCTCAGTGTGCACAGCTGCCCAAAACCACAGGTAATAATTCTTGCCCAGTTGTCTATATGTTGCCACATGGATTTCCTGGAGTCACCTTAAATTTACCCTTCCCCAAACTATACTCATTGTCTCCTCCTTAAGTATATTTTCCTCTCTTTTATTCGTTTATGTTAGTACCTTCCGTTCTGTTGGCTAAGCAAAAAACCCATGTCATATTTTACTCCTCCCGGCCTCTCAGCTCTGCCATTAGTCATCCTGTATTGTCACGTCTACCTTGGCCACATCTCAGCCATGCCCCCTGTATTATCTCCATCACCACTGATCTGATCTCTGACAATAGCTTCTTGCCTTCTAATCCATCCTCCTCATTGTCTCTAGTTATTTGTCTGAAATACAGTTTGGATCACTTCCTCTACTATGAAAAAAATGTGAATGTTCTTAAATTTAAATATTACAAAATTTCTAGATAAAGACATGCACATAGTAATTTACCAAGTCCTTTGAATGGAAGTCTATATCCAATCTACATATAGGTAGAGTGTAGTTCCTATAACCTATAATGGTTATAAATATGTCGCTTAAATCTATGGATACCTGGGTGGCTCAGTCAGTTAAGTGTCCAATTTCAGCTCAGGTCATGATCTCACAGCTCATGGGTTCGAGCCCCACATCAAGCTCTGTGCTGACAGCTTGGAGCCTGGAACCTGCTTCAGGTTCTGTGTCTCCCTCTTTTTCTGTCCCTACCCTGCTCGTATGCTCTCTCTCTCTCTCAAATATAAATAAACATTTATATATATCACTTAAGTCTAAATGGCTAGATTTAAAAATGGTACTATTGTTTACCAGATGTGTGACTTTTGAACATTTAATTATGTTAAAGACAGGAATAACATCTCTCTGCTATGCTGGCCAAAAGGAAGATGAATTATACCTCTCAGAATTTCTATGAGAATTAATTGAAGAAATTTAAGCAAAGCATCCAGGGAAGTCACTGTACCTAGGCTGAATAGGGGGACCCAGAATAGTGTGAGCTCAGAGAAAATACGGAAAAGAGGCCAAAAATGAAGCTCAAACGGTGGTAATAATAATAATGATAGCAACAACAACAATAATAAATTGCTGTTTTGTATGAACCATTTCATAGCTGCTCACTGTTTCCTACTTATAGACCATTTAGTAATTTCCCTTTCTATTGAAATATTTCTTATCTTTCAAGCCCATGGATCAGTCCTCCATACCCCTTGGCTAGTCATGGCCCCTGTTAACACCAATCCCTGTAACCTCTTCATGATCTCAAGTTCACACATCTTTCTCTGATCTCACTCTCTAGACTCTTATTTTCCTGTCTTCCATTTAGGACTCTGGTTACAACACACCTTTGATTACACAGGGAACTACAATTTGTTGATTCTGCAGTGTTTTCTTGGTCCCTCATCCTTTATGTTTCCCTTCACTTATTAAACAGCTAAAACCCCTGCCTTATATTATAAACACTGATACACCCCAAAGTTTTGCTTGCTGTTTTTTAATTTCATATTAATTTCTTGGCAAAAGCCAACTCAAGTAAATGTTATTTTCTACCTACTCTCTACTTGTCTCTTGTAGCTGAATGTAACTAGAAGAAAATGTATAATTATGCTGACTAGTTTTTAAATTCAAAACTACTCATATTAAGTTGCCCCTTAATGCTGCTAGATATTATATAGAGATTATATATCAGGCAGTCTTTCTCACAACATGCTCCTACTTGTATTTCACACCTTTTCTTTTCTTCTCAAATCTCCAACATTTTTACTCTTTCCCTTACTC